CTCTACATAATGCTGCCTTTCAAAAAAAGTGGTAAAAAGGAATGAAGCGCTGAGACATGCTAATATATGGATGAACCTCAGAAAGAAATGTATGCTAAATGAAAGAAGCCAGCCACAAAATACCACATATTATATGATTCCATTTATATGAGGCACTCAGGGAAAGCAAATCTGTCAGAAACAGAAGTAGATTAGTGGTTGCCTAGGGCTGGGGGTGGGAACAGGGAGTGACTGCAAATGAGCTTGAGGGATCTTTTGGGGGATGGAAATGTTCCAAATTGAATTATGGTAATGATTATGCAACTGTGTATTTACTACAAATCACTAAATTGCATGCTTAAATGCATGAATTTTAAAGTATACCTTAATGTGTGTGTTTTTTTAAAGATGTGATCACCATCACCTCGATTAACATTTGCCTTTCCTTGGCTTTATTCTTCCCTACATATGTAGTTTTTAGTGAAAGGTATATGAGCTATGAGGGATGGGGGAAAGAAAAGTTGGCTCTCCATGCATTCATCAAGATGCCGGTCTGAGAGCTAACATCTAAGCACCAATGTTGGCTCTGTGTAGGATTACAAGTGAGGGAAAGGAATACATGAATTCACTCATTTCTTACCAACAAAGACCAGTCCCTTCCTGTCTATCACCTGATTTGGGCCAGAGGAGAGAGACAAGACTGAAGAAGGACTGAAGCAAGATAAATAGAAAGAGAAAAAAAAGCAATGCATTTGATTTAAACAAACTACAAATGCTTCATCCCTCTTATTCCTGACCAATGGAAAACCCCCAGGACTGGTGACCACAAAAGAAGAAAACTCAGACTGTATTTCTCACTAACTGGCATGAGTATGAAAACCACTGAAACACACACAATTGAAACACTTCTTCACAGACCAAGTACAAGTATCAAGTCCCCAGGTTACCCACACTTGTATTTGTGTCTAGATCTGCAGAAGTTTGGGTATTTGTGTCTAGATCCATCAGAAGCCTTTTCTTTCAAAGGCATCTGGCATTTTCTGGACTGAGGCATCCAGGTGAATCAGAAGTCTCCTCTGCCTGGCTTGATTTACTGCAGTTATTGTACCTTTGCAAAGCTGATCCTCTCCCACGTATTAAAGCTAAGAGGGGCCTTAACAATTAATTGGCAAAAATGATCCCACACTCTTTTAGCAGCAGAATCCCCCCTTCAATCGTAACGTGGAAAGCCAGAATTATAAGGCCAAAGTGATGCTACACTGCTGTGTGGGTATGTGTGTGAGTACATGTGTATTAGTGCCTGTCTTGGCCCTGTCTCCTTGGACTTCCTTCCCCAAATGACTTCTGAGACACCTTCAAAGAATCCCTGGGGCTCCATGGCACAGAGAGAACTAATTTAGCACCCTTACCTTGTTTTATGTTTGAGGAGTCAGATTATAGGAATGAAGTGACTTTAGAGGCAACGTGGTCAAGGAGACATGAGGGTTTTGCAGTCAGGCAGACCTGGGCAACATAATATCTTTTGTGACCTTGATGGAATTTTCCTCAACTTTAAATCTCACTTCGCTCCCTATAAACCAGGTGTCATGCTCACTCATGTGGTTGAGAGGATTAAGGGAGCCGGTATGTGGTGCCCAGCCTGTCCATGGCACTCCGCCAGTCCCAGGCTGCTCTGAGACTGGAACCCAGGTCTCTCACTCCCCGCTCTAGTGCCTGTTCCATCAACCACATCACTTCCTGAGAAGGAAGAGAGAGGAGCACAGCACACCAGCCAGGAGTGACCTGGAGGAGCCCATCTCCTCCAGCAAACCCAAGCGCTTGTGCTATGGCTGGTGAGCTAGTGGCTTGGATTCCTTTTCCTGCACTGCTTCTGTGATGGCTACTGCACTGTACTTTCTCCACTGCCTTCTGCTTGTGTCTGCTGATGAGAGTGAACAGTGAAGTTGAAGTTTGATAATGTGAGAGGCAGTACATTGTGTAATGGGAAAGAGCACTGACCCTAAACCAGAGCAGACCTGGTTAAAATTAGGGACATAGACCTACTGATATGCAAGTTGCTTCACAGAGTGGTAATTGGTAGCCTGGTACCTTGGCTAAGTACATAGACTTCAGAGCTAACCTGCTGGTGTTCACATTTTAGCTGCACCATTTACAAATAGTGTGATTGTGGACAAAGATATTGTTTCTCCTTGCCTCAGTTTTCTAGTCAGCAAAATGGGCTTAATAAGTAACAGGACCCAAGTGTATGGTATTATGATGATTAAATTAACATCCATCAAGCACTTAAAAGACAGTAAATGCTATTATTGTCAGTGTAATTATGAATATGATTTAAAATTTAAGTGGTCAACATGCATTTATATAAAAGTATATTTATCCATCAAATATTTTTCAAATAAATACTTTGGCTGGAATAAATTTTTGCTTACCTTAGTTTCTTACATTGTCTTCTGACAAATTTTCCACGTTGATATTTTCCAGATGGTTATCAAAAAGCCTCTTCTTTACAATCTTAAAAACAATACGGAGATGTGAGGGTTCAAAATGACTTAAGTTTAGAAATATTTTCTTTGTATAAATTGGCCTAGATGCTTCATAAATCATATAATATTTATAAAATCTATTCACCTCCTTCTAGTATGGCTGCGTGACACTGGACACGTCTGTTAAGCTCTGTACATCTCAGTGAGAGGGTTGAACTTGAATGACTTGTGAGTCTTGTGGCTCCAGCGTTCTAAGTTAATTCATGTAGAATCACATTTGTTTACAGAACAGAGCTATGAAAACATGAGCGCTATGGAGGAAGTTTGAAGACAGAATGCCAGAAATAATTTGTCAAGCTGTGAACACAGTATGATCACAGAAAGAATCTTAATTTCCTAATGGCTTTCTGGAACAATAGAATGAATATCCTAGCGACCCAGGCCCACAAATTTCAGGTTTCTTCCCTCCAGCAGTTATTTTCCTGGTCGGCCATGCCTATGTCCCCCTACTTTTCAACATCTCTCTTCTCATTCTTTCTTCTGTTTTATTTATTGGAGGGGGTCTGTTTTAGTTTTATGGGATTCCTACTTGACTTTTCTGCTCTATTTTTTCCAGGCCCACTTCTAGCTGGTTCTTGTCTGTTCCCTAATCTGTTTCCTGGGAAGTTAGGAGGCGGGAAAAGGAGAACAGAGCGCTGGCCAGTCAGTAATGCTCCCTGTCGACACGTGGGCTGAGACAGCGGCCGGCGTGTGGGCTGGTGGAGTACGCAGAAGTGCTCATGGAGGCAGCTTGCTCAGCTTTCCTTGCTCCACATGCTGGAGGAGGCCTGGGGTGTTAGTACAGAGGCCTGGTTGGCAGGCATGCCAAGCCACTCACTCTGTCCTTTAGCTCCCCTTCCTATTACAGGTGTTTTTGCTTTCAAATGTTTAACTCACATTGATCAGTGAAAGGTGAGTTACATCTGCACCAGCAGAACATGCTGTCCATCAGCCATAATGCCGGGAGACAATTCTGTATCAGTTTGCCAGAGATGCAGTCACAGAATATCACAAACTGGGCTTACCCGGCAGAAATGTCTGGTACCTCGGTTCTGGAGGCTAAAGGTCCAAGACCAAGGTGTGGGCAGGGCTGGCTCCTTCTGAGGGCTGGAGGAACAATCTGTTCCTTCCCGTGTGAGTGTGTGTGTCCAAATTTTCTCTTTTATTATGGACACCAGTTATATTGGATTAGAGGCCCACCCTACTGTAGCAGGACCCAATGCTACCTTAGCTTATTACACCTACAATGACCTATTTCCAAATAAGGTCACAATATGAGGTACTGGGGGTTAGGACTTTAACATATGAATTCGGGGCAGGGAAGGCAGACATAATTCAACCTGTAACAAATTCACGTCTGCAGTAGAATGCACACTTTGGCCTGTTTTGCCCAATGGGGATGGAGCTTTGCCCAGATCTACCTACATACTCTCTCAACACCTTCACACAAAAACTCCCAGTGCCCAGTGTTTTCTCTTTTGCGAGACTGCAGCTCGTATTGGGGGTGGGGGTCGTGACCCTGGAATAGAAGGCTTTCTGTGTGAAATGGATGTGCTCACAAAGGTGCTAAATCCCCACTATAGTTAGCACTTTGCTCTCACCAATGCAATTACTGGTTTCCGAAGGTGGAACCAAGATCCTGCCACGGAAGAGAAGGTGTGGGGAGTGAGAGAGGCACCTGACAGCCCACATTGAGGGCTTCACCTTCTCAGGTGTTTGTGGGAGAGCTGAGCAGGTCGTGGTCACCTGGGGGTGCTACTACTGCTACTTAAGGACCATAAGCACACTCTGGAGCCAGCGACAAAGCACGGACTCGCCGGTTAGAGCAGAGTGCTATTATTAGCAACGAAACTGAATGTGACATGGAATCCAGACAAGTGCTCTCTCGTTGCTTGTTGAAATTTAGCCTTTTCATGTTTTAATAATCTAATGGCTTTCACCTTGTTAGAGCCTTCTTGATAGATTTCCAATTAGAGGGAAAATTAGATTCTAAACCAAACTTTAGGAAAATTGGTCACTTTGCTATTTATACTGTGAAGTCCAAGAGAGCATTGGCACCTGGGTGGCAAGCTCGGTGAGGGTGTGTCTTGTTTGTTCATTCAGGGGACTTAGTATTTTAAAATCTATTCTTCAAAGAAACTGTGTCTTTGACATAGACTTTAGTAAGAACTGAGAAATTAGATTAGCTTACAGTTTATGACATTTCCA